GGGGCTCTCTGTGCCGTGAATGTTACGCGATGGCTTCCTTCCATGAAGAACCATTCGCTTATCATTGTAGCACTTAAGTTGTGTGCCTTTCCTCCTCCTGGAAAAGGAGCACAGCAGTGAAATGGCTTTGATTTCCATATCAGAGGCTTAGCATTCTGTTTGGTCAGTCCGCTGTGGGAACAAGGAAGGTCCAGGTGCTGGGCCCTAGGCTCAGTGTTGCTCAAGTCTCAAAAAAAATAAGAAGCTGGAACCTGATTTTCTTTTTTATGTATGAAATCATCCAAGTTTTAAATGTTGATAACTAGCTTACAGCTTATGGGAACAATTAAACTGAACATTTACAAGAGCCAGAAGTAGCCTTTGGGGCTGGAGTTTGCAATGTCCATAGTCGGAGGGTCTGCGTGGTACTGATTTTAAAGACGTCGGAAACTTCTAGATGGAGAAGTGGGATTTTACAGGCTGGGAGGGCTTAGAGGGGTGGAGGGAGGAAGCAGGGAGGATTTACATTGGTGCTTCCTGTACCTTGGGAAGGTGAGGAAGTGGGCCGGCAGTGCTGAGGCCTGGGCCAGGGAGGGTGCGGGGGATGGAATAACCCCGTGGCTGCAGTTGCTGCCTTTGGCAGGCTACAGGCCTAGCTGCCCAAACGAACACCCCAAAGCATTAAACACAGGAGAAATTTGTTTCTCTCACCGGGGTCTATGAAAGCAAGCCAGGGTAGCCCTTTACTCTTCTTGGTTTGCTTTGGCTCATCCTCAGGTCCCATGGGGTTTTAGCTTTGGTGGACACTGCAGCCAGCAGGCGAGTGTAGGGGGCTGGAGGAGGCCATGTCCCATTCCTTTGCAGGGCAGGGTCAGACATTGATGGCATCGCTTCTGTTCACACCTCGTCAGCTCAAACACAGTGACAGGGCTGCTCAAGGCCACTCAGAGCAAGGCTGGAGTATCAGAGAGAGCAGGTGCTGTGGGTTCTTGAGTCTGCTGCACTGCACCTGTGGGTCTCAGGCTGTGAGGTAGGTGTTTCTTATTGTACTGTGCTCACAGTTAAAATTTTCTAATTTTTGTAGAGAGGCTCTGGTTAGCACAAATAGAAGGTGATACTTGTGTTTCATTTTTTGTGTTTTAGATCTGTACAACCTACTTTGTTTCTGGATAAATTGGCATAGCACAAGGAGTTTTTATGCTGTTTTATTTGTAGGGTTGGTCTAGAGCAGCAGGTTTCAAACTTTTTGCTCTCTTAAGAGTCACCAAAGGGGCTATGAGTGTAGTTCAGCGGCAAAGTGCTTGTCTAGCACATGTAAGGCCCTGAGTTCCATCCCCAGCATGGCAAAAAAGAAAGAAAAAAAGAAGAAAAATTACTGGAGACACTAAAAATCTTTGTTTATATGGCTTATATTTATTTATGTTTACTATGTTTATGTTTGCTAAAAATTAAAAGACATTTACAAGAATCTACAAGCAAATATTCTACCTTTTCTAAATTTATTTGAGACAGGGTTTTGCTCTGTAATTCAGGCTGGCCTTGAACTCACTGTGTAGCCCAGGGTGGCCTCAAACTTGCAGCAATCCTCCTGCCTCAGTCCCGAGTGCTGTAATTACAGGCCTGCGCCACCACGCCCGGCTACACTGTAGTAACTGTTTCTCAATTTTGAGAAACTGATGTTTTAAAAGACAAATAATATTTTAGTAATATGAAAATAATTGGCCTTTCAGACTCCCCTAAAGGGAAGTTCAGCATCCTAGGAGCTACTGATCCAGACAATATCGTCTTAATGTTAACATTACAACTGTAGGTACCACAATTAGTGATTAAAAAGTAAAAGAGTAAGACAGCTCAAAAAATAAGTTGACTGGCCAACCTGTGACTCTCTTTCATCTTATTCTTGGGAGGAGATAGTATCTGTTACTGAATAAGAAGAAAGAAAGACAGAAAGAGGTTATTTTTATGTATAGTAATCAATTAATCAGTTTTGGCATTTGAAATATATTGAATTCAATAGACACTTTACATTATAAAAGCTCATGACAGAAAACAGTATAGCTGGTGGGTTGCTTTTGTGCACATTTACCATTGTTTTTGGCCTCCATGTTCTAAATCCACCTTTTCTCACTTGGCACCACCCACAGCCTCCTGTTGAAATGGGAGGTGCTAGATCTTTGCATTTGCAGCCACCTTTGCTGCCAGGCTGCAGGCCTGTGACCTGGGCCGTAGCAGACATCTCCCTCTCGGGCTGGGAAACAGAACCTGGGGACATGCAGGAGTACTGGGCAGCCGCACACCGTTTTAAAGGCAGCAGTTAGTGGTCGGAGGTGCTGATGGCAATGGAGGAAGCTGCAGACTCCGGGGTTTATCAGTTGCGGAGACAGCAGTGGTGTTTTCACCAGACCGATGCTTCTGTGTGAGTGGCCTGGTCTGGAACTGCAGCCCAAAAGCCAGGTTTCTCTGGCCCTCCTGAAAATATGTGATTTTCCTATTATCCTCATGTGAATTCAAGAGTCATTGCTTTTATCTGAAACTAGGAATCTGCCTTGCCACATTGTCAAAGGCAGTCAGTCTTTCAAAATACTGCTTTGGAAGCCTCATCTATCAAAATCCCTGGCCATGTTCTAACAGCGCCCATTACTGGGCTTAAAACAGATGGGTTCAGAATCCCTGTGATGCAACCCAGAAATCTGCGTCTTAAACAGGACTCAGGTGGTATGATTTTAGGTACATGAAAATTTAAGAACAACTGTCCACATTTTTCTACTTTTTAAATTATTTTCTAGCTGGGCGTGTTGGCACATGCCTGTAATCCCAGCACTTGGGAGATTGAGTTCAAGGCCAGCCTAAGCTACAAAGTGAGTTCAAGACCAGCCTGAACTGCATAGTGAAACCGTGTCTCAAAAAGAGGAAACAAAACAAAACAAAACAAAACAAAACAAAACAAAACAACAGTTATTTTCTATTTAGAGTCTTGAGTAACTTCCTTTTTGTACTGAAGATTTAATCCAGGGCCTTTGCGCTGAGCTACTTCTCAGCTACCCCTGCCTCTTTTTTATGTTTTATTTTAAGGTAGGGTCTCATTAAGTCCTTAAATTGCCCAGGCTGGGCTCGACCTTGTGATCCTGCTGCCTCAACTCCCAGAGTGCTGGGATTACAGAAGTGCTCCACCATGCTGGGCTCCGAGTAATTTTTAAAAGAAATAATTCCACCCTTTATAAGGCCAAAATCAACTAGTGACCAGTATTTCCTTCTTCTTTTTTCTGTTCCCTCCGTATTCCCCATAAGACTTTGTCTCTTTAACTTTTTTTCCCCTGTTCATTTCTTCTCACTGAAAAGCAGTAATTCCCCAGGTGGTATTGCCCATATTCAGTGGTACCTGAATTTTCAACCTCATGTTGTGACTGTGGCTTTCTCTCTCTCTCTCTCTCTCTCTCTCTCTCTGTGTGTGTGTGTGTGTGTGTGTGTGTGTGTGTGCACATGGTTTCTTTCTTGGGCATTTTTGTAACCTGTAGGCTTAGAGTTTTTACTCCAGGGACAGCTGAGACAATGAGAAGAGGCAGAACCTGGAGGCAGGGTGACTTCCTTCCTTCAAGGCATTCTTAGCCATGGATTTGGGCCAGAAAATAACAAGGAGGGCTTGATTGATCTACTTCTGAGGATTCTAGAATCACAGAATGTTATAACTAAGGAGAACATAGCTGCTCCTCTGTTTCCAAAATGAAGAACTCAGTGAGAAAGTATGTGTCCAAAGTCACCTAAGTGATTACAGTAAAGACTACAACAAATCTAGAAATAGAAAGTGGTGATGCAGAACATGACCAACACTAGCATAAAAAGGAAGGGGACAACATGTATTAAGTTAATATTTGAACTCTGGTGCATTTTTTTAGCTGCAGCTTCCTCATCTGCAAAATAAAGATTCTAATGATAGCTAACATTTTACTAGGAACTATTCTAAGAACTTTATATGCTAACTCATATGACATATTACTTTGCTTCTCCATATTTCAGATGCACAGAAAGGATATATAGTTTACCTGTTATCATACAGCTAGCTTATCGGTTTTCTATTACTCCGTTACATATTTTCATGAACTTAGTGACTTTAGACAACCCACGCTTGTGATCTTATTTCATTGGAGTCAATCATCTTGGGCATAGCTTACTTAGGCCGAGCTTACTTACTTTGTTTCACAAAGCATCTACTGAGGTGTTGGCCAAGGATAGGGGATCAGCTGAGGTATGGGCTTCATTTAAGCTCATATGGTTACTGGAAGAAGTAATTTTCTGTAGGTACAGAGCCCATGGCATTTGGGTCTCCAATGCCAGCATAAGACCATCTCCTTTCTTTGAAAGTCTCACCTCATTAGTTTAGGATCACCCAGGATAACCTCCCATTTGATCAGTTTCACATCAGCTGAGTTAGGGCCTTACTATATCTACAATCTCACTTTACCTTTGAAACATAATGTAACATAATCATGGGCGTAATATCCTGTCACCTTTGCCCTGTTCTATCACTTAGAAGTCAATTATAGGTCTCTTCTACAACCAAGAGGAGTGAATTACACAAACACACAGATCCTAGTGTACAGGAGTCCCAGGCCCATACGAATTTTGCCTGCCACAGCTCCCAGGCTAAGTTTAAACCAATGCTGGCTCCAAGCAGATTCCATGACCCCGTGGTTCTTGGTCTTAAACACAGGTGCTCATCTTTCTCTCTTTGAAGAAAGTGAAACTACTACTTCATGCCTTTGCTTGGAGTTATAAATAAAAAATATCAAGCAACTCCCCAAATATAAATTGCTTTCACACCTCCATTTTCAAAGGTCAACTTCAGGAAACCCTAACTACCCACAGTTTTATATTTTCTGGAAGAGATTTCCAAAAGTCTCTCTACACACTCTGGTTATATAATTTATGTCAGTGTGTTTATGTTCTTTTGGACATGGGGTTTGGGATTTGAGACTTGGGTTCTCAACAAATAATCTTGGCTTTGATTTTTGTCTTTGAAACAGATGAAGTGATTGAGAAGAGACGGTGAACACCTTCCTTTGGTAGACAAGACGGCATGGAGCAGCCATTTACTGTGAATTCTCTGGTAGGTCATACTGACTGGTATTTTCCATATGCCTGGAAAGCCAAAAAGAGAAGAACAGAAGCAGACCAAATGTGCAATGAATCACAAGTACTTTAAGAAGTTTAGCATTTGTTTGTAGGTTTTTTTTTTTTAAATTGATCTGTCTGGTACTGTCCTTTGAGGAAGTGACTAATAAAGCCATCTTCACAAGATTTAAAAATAATTTTTCCCCCATAAAAGTGTGAAATTTTAATTTGTCTAGCTAGATTCTAGAAAGGTAGTCCTTTGGAAAAATGCTGGAGGGAATTTTCAAGCTGACATCACAGCTAGTACCTAACCTTAGCAAGTACCTAACCTTCCTGTGCCTCAGGTTTTTCATGGATAAGAACTGGAAACTTGCCTCGTGTACTACTAAGGAGAACATTACGCATCTCACATCTAGATGTTACTTTGCAGTGCTTGTGTCCGTGGCTGCACACTTGTTCTTGTTCTGACTTCACTCCTCACTGCCCGGGTTGTGTACATTTTGTCTGGCTACATCTTAACCACCAGGATGCACTTTCTCTACTTACATTTTAGAAAGGGAGTGCACTGGGGAAGAAATAACAGGGGCATTGGGATAATGTGGTCTTATTCTGTGTCCCAGATCAGTCTCCAAATGTGAGCATAGGCACATTATGTAATTGCTGTTGCCCTGGTTTAGTACTTTGTGACAATTAGAGACAATATTTTTCATATTCCCAACCTAGCATGATGGCTTGATAAGTGGAAGCTGCTGTTTACCTCCTCCTGGTGACCCTCCTGGACCCACTCACAAAGGGACACCCTCTGAGCAACACTGAACCTAGTGCCCTATACGTGTGAAGGGTAGAGCCAGAACATAAACAGAAGGCTGATCTGGCACTGAAATGGACTGTGACTTAGTGTTTTTTCTTTGACCAGCAAAGTCCTTCACAGGAGCATAGTTGTATTCAGAGTAAGTTTGAGAGGTAAGGACTTGGAGGAACGTTTTCCCTGTCTGCACCCATGTTGGCCTTCCCCTGTGGAGAAAGAAAGAGTAGTCCATTTCTACCGCTGCAGAAGAAGGGATTAACCTTATAGGGTGTCTTATGTGTTTTTCCCAAACATTGAATAGGAATAGTTAAAATTTCATTGTATTCATCACTTTGAAAATGAACACTAAGTGGGGCTGGGGATTTAGCTCAGTGGCACAGCGCCTGCCTAGCAAGCACAAGGTCACGAGTTAGATTCCTGGTATCAGAAAACAAACAAACAAACAAAAAACAAAGAAAACGAACACTAAGGCTTTTTCATCACAAATTTTATGTTTTCATCCAAGAAGTTTACATAGAAAAAAAACTAAATTGAAAAAGGCTTTTGGTTATTTCCTAGCTTATCTCTCAAATTAATTTCACATTTAGAATGAAAAACACTACTCAGGAAAGAAAAAAGAAAAACCAACCTTGGTTTTTTATCTTCTGGGCAAAAAAATAATCTGATTATAGTCTTGTTGCTGCCTTTTCTTTCTTCTTCTCATCTCTCTCTTTTTTTCATTCTGCTGTTGAAGATTGAACCCAGGGCCTTGTGCATGCCAGGCCTCCCACTGACCTCTATTCTCAGCTCCATTTTCTCTTTTTTATTTGATACAATTAAGGATTATCTACTTTGTTTCAAGGAATATGCCAGAGAGCAGAGATGAGTGGAAAATATTTTCTTTTAAAACTTCATGGAGTTCACAGGGATGGGAAGTACCTGTGCAGACACAATTATGATTCAGTGTAGATGACACTAGGATAGGGACAAACTACTGTTGTGCATATGGGAGACTGGAAGCCCTTTTAGTAGATGCTGTAATTTCCATAGATTATTTTCCAGCATTTTTCATGTCACTGAGGCAATTGTTTGTGGTTCAGTCACAATATTGTCCTTTCATACTGTTGAATATTATAGGTGAATGTGCTTAGGGAAAAGTGGACGGACTGCTAGAGCGTTAGAGACATCTCAGTTGGAAAAGAGTCATTTATCAAGACTGAAGCTCAAGTTCCCAATCTCCCACTCTCGACTCTGTGGGGAAGCCTGCAAAAGCTTCTCTGAAATTACAGACCCCTTCAGGCTGAGCATGGTGATGTGTGCCTGGGAGGCTGAGGCAGAAGCATCACAAGTTTGAGTCCCACTGGGACAGTTTAAGGATTTAGTGAGACCCTGTCTCCAAATGAAAAATAAAAAAGTGATAGGGATCTAGCTCAGTGCAAAGGCGCTGAGTTTAATCTCCAGTACTAGAAAAACAAAACAAAACAATTCCAAAAAATAAAACCCAAGAAAGTCCTTCAGAGAACTAGAAGAATAACATAATAGGGTGTGGATCAAAGCAATTACATTTTTTTAAAAGGCTTACAGTTTTTTAAATTGACATAGAATGTTTTTACCTATTTGTAGGATACAGTGTGATACACTGATACATGTATGCAACAAGTAATGATAAAATCTGGGTAATTAGCATTTCTATCCCCTCAAACACATCATTTCTATGTCAGAAACTTTTTCTGCCTCAGTGACATAAAAAAGGCTGGAAAATAATCTATGGAAATTAGAGCATCTACTAAAAGGATTCTTTTTTTGTAGTTATATTGAAATATTCAATAAATCATAGTCTCTAGTTACTATCCTTTCTCTTTTTCTTTCTTTCTCTTTTTGTTTCTCCCTCTCTTTTTCTTTCTTTCTTCATTTCTCTCTTCTTTCTCTTCCTTCCTTCCTTTCATTCTCTCTCTTTCTCTCTTCTTTTTTTTTTCTTTCTTTCTTTCTCTTTTGCAGTGCTGAGGATTGAACCCATGATCTCCCACTGAGCCGCGTTCCCAGCCCCCTACACCAGAATTAATGTCTCTCTTTAACTGTACTTTGGTGCTTGTTTTCCTAATAAAGGAAACATGTTTGAGTGTGACATGAAGTCACTGAGGAATGGCCAGAGCACTGATGTTATAACCAGCCATTCCTCTGTACTTTCAGAATTCTGACCAGATAAGCACAGATCAAAAGTTCTCTAGGTGAGAACCAAAACCGAAAGCACCTTATTCCTTGTGACTTGACTAGACCCTTCTCTCCCCTGGAGAATGTAGGAGACTACATCTTTCATCTCTTCACCTTTAGTTGACTTGGCTTTCCTGGATAGGGGATAGTGTTAGGCTCTCTGGGAGAGGAAGCCCAAGCTCTCTAGGAAAAAACTGCATGGAAACCTCACCCATGTTGCTCCAGGCCAGGTCACAAGAGTAATAGCAGGTGCAGGGGGAGTGGCCTGCTTCTGACTAACCGAAACCTTGAGAAACTTATTTATGGCTCTCTGGTTATATATTAAACTTTCAGGAACAGGAGTCATTTTAAATCCCTGGGATTCTATGTGCTATATAACTACCATGAAAATAGATCAGATGGCACTGAAAAACTTCAGACATCTAATCTGCTATACTCTGTACTCTTTTTGGTAATTCATGCCACACTTAAAACTACGTCTACTTAGAGTTTTTCATAGCTTTCTGTAGACCTTAGTGAGGTGCCCTGTCCACGCTGGAGCTGGACACACACCCTACACTTAACTGACGAAGGAGGCCTCAGGGAGCGAACTTGGCTCTGGGCCACCTCAGAGTATCAAGACCTGGAAGAGTGGTCTAAAACTGGCACATAACTCAGTGCCTCTGGGAGCCCTGCTTAAAAGATCCATTCTCCAGTGCACCTCCAGAGATCCTGAGGTGGGGCCAGTTAGGAATTTACACTTTTATAAAAGGCCCAGTTGTTGCTCATGCTGCTGTTTTGTGGGCGGTACTTGGAGATGCATGAGTCTAAACCAGGAGAAAACAAACCATGGCTCAGGGGTAAAGTCACTGCTTGGAGCACAGCCAGACTCCTTTGTTTCCATGTTGTTTATGGCTGCTTTCCCACCAGGAGCACTGAATTCAAGTTGTGACAGAGACCATAAGGTGCTGGCCATTGGACCTTTAATAGAAAAAATGTCCTGACTTTTTTTTGTTTTGCTTTTTCTGAAGCACTGACTTCTTACTGAGTAACTGAATAATTAACCTGAAAAATATATACTTATGTTTTTCCAAATGTGTATAAATACTGGTTTTGTTAATAAAATTGAAATACAGGAATTGTTTAGTTAATTTATTGCTAGTGTTTTTTCAATCAGGGACTGATGAATGGCATAAGTACTACAATATGGCAACCTGAGGGTGTTTTATATTTAATAAAAATGGGGCTGGAGGTTCTTAGGTTTGGATAGGCGTCTCCAGAACTTACTGGTAGATTTTTCTTCCTTTTATTTTGTGAAACTGGAGAAAGACCCTGAAAATTTCTTATTAAACTAGATCTATTTTGGCAAGGACTCAAATCCGGATAGTAACTTTGGATTTAGAGACTGCCTTGAGACCATTCAGAGAATGACATGAGTCCTTCTATGAAGGGATTTATCCTGGGTCTGCCCCACATGACTCAGGAGGTGAACATCCGCAGGGGCATGTGAGAGGGTCCATGATGTTTTACCTGAAATGACCTAAAGCACACACTCAGGAACTGCCACCTGATTTGATCATGAAATCTAAAGGGGCTCTTACTTAAACAAAAATGTAAGTTTATCCTGGATGTGTGTCTTTAGGTAGGGTTTTTGCTTTGATTATATCTTAACTCTTTTTTTTTTTTTTTTTTTCTGGTACCGGGAATCGAACTCATGACCTTGTGCTTGCCGGGTAGGCGCTGTGCTGCTCAGCTAAAACCCCAGCCCCCATGTCTTAACTCTTATGAAAAGATTTCTTTAAGTATTGATGCCAAGTTTTTAGTGTGTCCATTAGTCAGTCATATTCTTTCCTTACTATATCAGATATTTAAATTTTGCTTTGCAGAGAAAGTTAGCTGCTATGCCTGACCATACAGATGTCTCCGTAAGCCCAGAAGAGCGGGTCCGTGCCCTAAGCAAGCTGGGTTGCAATATTACCGTCAACGAGGACATCACGCCGCGCCGCTACTTCAGGTCCGGAGTGGAAATGGAGAGGATGGCGTCTGTGTACCTGGAAGAGGGAAACTTGGAAAATGCCTTTGTTCTTTACAATAAATTTATAACGTAAGTTTTTGTTCCTGTTGTTGTTGTTTATTGGCTTTAGAGGCCTTTAAAATGAGAAATTAGAAGAAAATACATGATACTTTCATGTGGCATTGTGGGGTACCAGAAGGGTTTTCATAGTCAAACTAGTTGTACTGTTTCTCAAAGCGTTAGATGCCCAGGTTTTTAAGTTACCTGCAAATGTGTTGAAAGGCACTCAGCTGCCCCCTGTGGGGCTTAGGAATGAGCTGAAGGTCAGGGAGGAGGGGAGGCTCTCAGCCGATCAGCCCAGTAACCTGGGTGTCTCCTTCTTCACGAACAGAATTTCTTGTTCCCTGCTGTTCCTTCCCCACAGGGATGCAAGCTTTCTGAGAGCAGGAGCCCCACTGCAGCTCCACCTACAGCATCTGGAACATGTCACCAACATTTTAAAAATTTAATATGATGGGTTGAGGCCTGGGGACAAGTTGGGAAGCATAGAAAAGATGTGATTCTGGAAGCAGGCCTTCAATTCTCTATAGCACTTACTACTTTTTTAAGATAATTTATTTGGTTACATAAGAATCCTATGTACAAAAGTGCTTTCAAAATGTTGAATGAGTGTGGCTACATCAAAATACCTGTGTAAAAATCACATATTTCCCACTAGGAATTTGTTGGTAATACAGCTTAGCTTAATAATGAACAGAAATGGGATTTGGACTCTTCTTACCAGTGTAGCAGTTTAACTGGTCAGAGAGATAGCTTCTTAATAGTTATTTACTCTAAGCTGAATGTTTTGTTGTTTGTTGGTTTTAATTGAAATCATATGTTGGTTAATTTGACTAGTTTATTTTTAATTTTATTTTAATTGACAAGTAATTATGTGTATTTATGGGGTATTTATGATATTTTCAAAGATGTGTACATTGTGGAAGACTAAACCCAGCTAATTAACATATCCATTACCTCACACACTTACCATTTGTTAAGTAGCGAGAATACTTAAAATCTGCTGTCTTGTAAAGTTTTATTAGGATCGCAGTGCTGTACACTGCTGCACTGGGCCTCCTGAACTTCTTCCTCCTATGGAACCGAAACTTTGTGTTCCTCAACCAGCATCTTCCCAATCCCATCCTTACCCCACCCACCTGCAGGTGCTCCCTGCTTCTTGAGGCTGACTGTTGAAAGTTTCACATCCCAGGGGGATCATGGAGTACCTTCCATTTCCTACCTTACAGTTTCAGTTTCACTGGTTGAGTGGGGGGTGCTTACCCTGAGGACACTCAAGAAGTTGAACAGATCAAGCAGTTTAAAAATTCTGTCATTCTACCAAGGGCAAAATTAAAAGCAGTTTACATAGCATACACATTTCTAAGTTATTCACCTTGAATATTTAGCTTGGAAATTTAGAGAATGAGTGGTAACCTTCATCCTATCTGGAAAAATCAGTTGTTATTTTTGGAAGTGAAGCAGTGAATATGAAATTGAAGGTTATCTCCTACCACTGATAGCAACAGCTTGGTTTCAGGTGTCAACAGTTCATATGTCTTTCATTTTCTGCTCCAGCTTTGCTCACACTGGTATGGAAGCATAAGTGCAGTAAAGGAGAAAACCACTGTACCCTGAGCTACTGAGCGCTCAGAATGATTGAATTCTCTCATGTCATTAGCAGTGTGATAATTTGTGCCTCACTTACTGTCTCTGGGCCTCAGTGCCCTCTCTACAAATGAAAGACTTATGGGGGAAAATCTCTGAAATTCCTCCAGCTCTTAGTACTCGTGATTTTGATTGTTTATGAAGTCTGAGAGAGCTCACAACTCTTCCGCTGCTTCTATATGCATTAATTTTCGCATTTGAGAAATGGGAGTTGTGTTGCCATTTCTGTCTGCCCACGGCCTAATCATCAGGCAACGTGATGTGATGAATGTGTGCATGTGGCTTGTAAGCAGTAACGTCAGTAATTGTAATGTGTTCCGTGTTAGTTACAGAACTAGCCTTTACATCCCCTTCTGATCCATCAAGGAAGAGCTGTTCATTCACTTTTCAGATTTTTATTGACTACTGGCTATTAGCTGGCTACTTTCGTCAGGCTGGGATGCATCAGTGAATAAAAAAGAGAATTTTCTGTCCTTGTGGAAGCAGTACCTTTGTTTTCCCTGGGAGCAGTGCACCTGGTTGGCATGGATTCCCTGTCCCTGTCTTGCATCTTACTTCCCCCAAAGGTGGTGGGAAAGTAACAGCTAATCAACATCTCTTAATTCATTGTAGATTCTGGTTGTTTTTTTTTTTTTAAGTTATACATTTTCAGTTAAGAGTTTTTGATATATACTCAATAGTGCTACTTATTCATCCGTGATTATCCGAATCTTTTTCTAGGGTGAGAAGGGATTAACTTTGGTCTTTCCACACTCTCACATTTTTGTATCATCCTTTCGGTTGCCAGCAGCACACAGAAATCAGACGGTGCTCAAGTGCCCAGGTCCTGAGAAAGACCAAAGTGACTTGGTTCGTTTAGCAAAGATGTATCTTGACTTTAATCCCATTAGCTTCTGTGCCTAGTTTGCTGAACTTCACTACCCTGCAGTGCCAAAATAATACTCATGTCAACCTTTAATGAAAAGGTGGATGGAAAGACTATTGGTTAAATAATGTCATTAAACGTCATTTTTGAAAAGGATGCTCCTATTCGATACTGTCGTTAAGCTTTTGCTTTGTGTGTTTTCTTTTTCTCCAGCTTGTTTGTGGAAAAGCTTCCTAACCACCGAGATTACCAGCAATGTGCAGTACCTGAAAAGCAGGATATTATGAAGGTACCGTGGGACTGATTTTCCACTGTGGGATCAAATGCTCCACAAATATCCATTATTGGTTCACCAACCCCTTCCTTTCCTCCTTTGTCTCTTCCTCTGGAGAGTTTGAACACAAGAAATTCATTCCATTAGCTATGATGTTTCGATTTCTTCTTAGACATTTAATGATTATGACTGAGCCAATGTGTCCTGTCTAATTGATGGTGGTGGATAAAAGAAAGAAAAAGGATGAACTCTATCACCTTTTGATGTGAAGGAATTATTTAGATTCCTCCCAGAAATTGAGAGAGTGGTTATATGATTTCCTGTACTTATTTGAGGCAGTCATTTTGGCTGGTTTTAATTACTTTGTACAGCCCTGAACCCAGTAATTATCTGAAAATTACTATGCATTATTATTGTTATTATTATTATTGCTATTATTATTTCAATGATATTGGGAATTGAGCACAGGGAGTGCTGAGTGACACCCCAGCTACCCTTTCTATCCTTCCTTTTTTGAGACAGGATCTTGCTAAGTTGTCCAGTTTGTACACAAACTTGCGATACTCCTACTTCAATCTCTCAAGTCACGCAGATTACAGGCACGCATCACCATGCCTGGCCAGTGTTCACTTTTAAGGCAGCTACAGAGTTCTAGCCACAGTCATGCACCATATAATGATGCTTCAGTCAACCATGGACCACATGGTCAAGGTGGGTTGCATCAAATCATATTGCCTAGTGACATCATAGGCACCTTAATTTGTGTAAATACACAAAAACACAAAACCCAGGGATGACACATTGTTCAGAATATATCCCCATCCTTAAATGTTGCATGACTGTATTTACCTCTTTGAGTATTTGGGCTTATGTGTAGTAAGTGTTGAGGGACGGCCTGCCTGAAATACTATCAGTGAAAAAAAAGATTGTTGCAATGCATGTGTTTATCATAAGCCTTTGTTATGCGATCTCTAGCTGAGAAGACATCCCTTTAAATAAACGTTTTACAGTGTTTCTCATTCATCTTGGTTTGTGTTGGCCTTATGAGGTGTTAAAAGACTGTGTACAAAGCCAATCACTGTGTGATAATTATTGAGAAATATTTTACTGTGTTATGGAATAAAGACTCTCCTGCTAGTCCTATAAGGCCAGAGGCTGTCTGGAAACAGATTTAGTTAAAATGTTAGGTCACTTGACATGGTTACATGTTTATACTCACTATGTTATCCTGTCTTTGTATAACATTTTCCCTTCAATCTCTTGTACATTCAACCTTAGAGAGTATGGAAACCAAAGGTCTAAGCTGTCAAGGTGACCCTTGGTGTAATTGAGTGTTGTTTTTATTGGCAAGAGCAAACTTCTTCAAAAGTAGTACCTTTCTCTTATTCATGTTTATTAAATAAATGGATAGGTCAATAAGTAAATGACAACGAATTAAAAGAGCAAACCTTTTGGTGGAAGGACCTTCTTGGCAGTAGGAGACTCGGGTTCTGGTCCTGACAAGACCACTTGCAAGTTCTATGATATGTAACAATTTCTCTTCCAGTGATGATGAACCTTGTAGAGCTTTGAGTGGTAGCAAACAGCTGGGTGCAGCACATGAGCCGTAGGCCCACCACCTGGCCTTTGTTTCCTTTTCTCTCAACAGAAGGGTGGTAATTGGACTCTGTCTGGTTTCCCAGATTTTCCTGTGACTAAGAATCACAGGGGAAGTTGTTTGAGATGCAGATTAGTTGACCTTTTCTCTAGTATATCTAGCAGCAGCCTCAGAATCTGTACAGTATTTTTATGAAAAGTTTCTCAGTTGCTTTTTACATTTGGTTTGTCTAGGAATCCCTACCCGCCCCACACCTTCCAGTGCTCCCTTGTTACTGATGCTACGTGATTTACATATGGAATCGGTACCTACTACCTAAAAATGGGATACTTGCCTACACAAGAAGCTTATCTAATCAGTGGGGTCAATAAAGGTTTTTTTTTTTTTTTTTTAACTTCCGAAAATTTTATTTTGGAACCCTAGAATAAGGAAAGTTATTTTACTGCCATCATCTTTGGTTACTTGTGACTTAATTTCTAATAAATATACCAGCTGTTTTTCCTTCTCAGCTGATTATTTATAGACTATACTGAAAATCCCACTAATTGATATGTATATATATATTTTTAAAAGAAACTGAAGGAGATTGCCTTCCCAAGGACAGATGAATTGAAAAAGGACCTTTTAAAGAAATATAACGTAGAATACCAAGAATATTTGCAAAGCAAAGTAAGTTCACTTGATACATTTATTTCATGACTGTTTTCTGTGCAAATATTTTTGAATTTTATTTTTATGAGTTTTCCAAGTATCATATGCATTTAAATTAAAAATTAAAGATGCAGTGATGTGAAACCAATAAAAAATTCATGTTGATGTTCAGGTTAAGTACTTGCACCAAAGATGTGGTATTTTTATTTCCCTGTAACATCTAATGAAGCAGTGCATTAGGAGATAGATTTCCTACAGAGATTTAAGCAGAACTTTTGGGCTATGTCTTTGCCCTGTAACCTTAAGCCAAATGGCTGCTTTTTCAAATGAACAGAGGCAATAGGAAGCAGTGAGAACAATGAATGATTTCTGTTGTGTCCAATTATGCAGGCCTTGGAAACATGAATTTGATTAAGTATTACAGTGAATAATACATACAGATAGAACAACAGCTAATCGTACTGATGGAATGTGATCACAGCACCAAAGGGTGGTGATTTCTGATTGCTATTAGATAAAAAGTGAAAGTGATAGTGATGTCTAAGAGACAGGCATTGAAAAAAGAAATTGACCAATCTATAAGATATTCGGTTGAAAATGTGAACTCTCAAATGTTGATGCATTATTGTAAGTGTTGTGCTTTGTGTGTGTGTTTATTTGCTTTGGAGATTGCCACCTGCATGACCCTTACTTCAGTTCAATCTCATCGCCTCTGTCTTGCTTTTCTATCGGCGTGGCCAGAAGGCTGTTTCGCATGAGGTATTTTAACTAAGTGGCAGAAGAGTGAGCTCAGAAGTGTGGATATTAGTGACTTGATTGGAAATATGAAAGGCAAATGATTTTGTAGAACAAGTGAAAGCAACAGCAAGAGAGGGCAGAGCTCAGCTCCGGTCTCTCACACTCAGCAAGGCAGACGTTGTCCTGCTGAAGGACCTCCTCGGGAGGAGCAGGCTCAGCTGCTGTGCCACCTTCTGCTTTGGGTGACACAAACTGCCTTGCCAAGCACACTATGTCCTACATAGAAATCTGTGGTGGTAGAGTGGCAGCAGCCATACCTGGGAGAGGCCACCAGACCTCCCTGTAAGCCCTGGCTATCAACTGTACCTTTGTCCCCTAGACTCGTCAGAAATGCAGAATCTAATCTTGGTCTCCTTCACTACCCCCACCTTACATTAGCTCCCCCAATCTAGTTTCTAGCAATATCGTTTGAGAAGCTTATTAAATTTTTTTTGTTCTCTGATCTAATAATGCCTAGATAGTTTGTTTGTACTCAGGAACTTGGGATTTTGCATTTCTAACAAAATTCCTACTAAATTATGACAGAAGTGGTTAGAATACATGTTAAGGACTATTTCTTTGTGACTCCACCTCTCCATAAAGTTTTAATAGAGAATGAGTCCTAAAATCCAAATGGTGAAAGTTTTGGGTCAGCCCTGTGCAATAGAATTTCCTGTGCTAGTGAACATGTTCTATTTTACACTTTCCAATATGGTAGCCAGCAGCCACGTGTCGCTGTTGGGTACCGAAAATATGACTAGAGGACTGAGGCATTGGGTTTCTGATTGTATTTAGTTTTTACTAATTTAAGTGTACATCCATAGCCACATGTGGCCACTGGTGACTGGATGGAGCAGCACAGTCTTCAGGAAAGATTTTGTTCCATCCAGTCTGGCTGGTCAACCCTGACCTTAATTTTCCAACATTTGGAAGTACCAGAGAATGGATGGAACTTGATTGTCATACTCTACCTCTGGTGAAGTAGGAGAGGATTTTGAACTGCAGACTTAATTGGAGTAAGGGACTTTTTCATGGTGTGTGTTTTCCTCACGGCTTCCTAAGTGTCCCTTTGGACATGTCAGTCTCCAGCTATCTGTCTGCTAGAAGATGGAAAGTGTGTAATCCCAGTTTGATGTTTTTCCCTTGGAAATTAACCTTTTCTTCTGCTAACCACATTTTTAGAACAAATATAAAGCTGAAATTCTCAAAAAATTGGAGCATCAGAGATTGATAGAGGCAGAAAGGAAGCGGATTGCTCAGATGCGCCAGCAGCAGCTTGAATCGGAGCAGTTCCTGTTTTTTGAAGACCAACTCAAGAGGCAAGAGTTAGCCCGAGGCCAGACGCGGAGTCAGGAGACCCCGGGACTATCGGAGCAGATTGACGGGAAGGCTCTCTCCTGCTTTTCCTCGCACCAGAACAACTCCTTGCTGAATGTATTTGCAGATCCACCTACCAAAAGTGAAGCAACCAATTGTACTAGACATTCACCTCCTGTCAACAGAGCCTTAAAGCTAGCAGCTACTCTAAGTGCTGTGCAGAGTAAGTGATATCGTGCACGCTTCAAGACACTGAGGCTGCTCTGATGGAAGCAGTTCTCCGCAGCAGCTGGGAGGGTCTGTTCATCTCCTGACTAACGGTAGTAGGACCCCTGAATGAAGTGGTGTCAATGGCAGAACTAACTTCTCTGTGCTCTGATGCTTTTACTACATGTAATTTTAAAATTCAGGAAACATGATTCTCCTGATGATAAAGCAGACTCTGTAATAAATGGGGCTGTCTTTTCTCACTGAACACAGGTTTTAAATGAGAATTCCTGGCATTCTTTTTCTTCCATGCATTTTAACTAAGAAACACATAAAGCTTAAAGGTAAACACTGATGTGGAGAGAAAAGAAAATACTGAAAAAATTGCCCAGACATTTGCTCAATCATAAAGCAATTTAGCATTTTTCATGAATGGAGAGGATCTCTTACATAGTTAACCTCCAAATGGAGTGTGTATTTCTGCCAACAATTAATGCTAGTTAATACTGTAAAAACTATATTGGCAAGTACACGAAATCAAATGAATTCTTTTTGGGAGTCACTGTCAGATGGAATCTGTGTGCCTAATTATTTTTAAACAGTAATAATGATAGGCACCCATTTTACAAACTACTGTACTGCTTTTTTTTGTTTGTTCATTTTTTTGTTTTTCTTCTGGTACCAGGAATCGAACTCATGACCTTGCGCTTGCCAGGCAGGTGCTGTGCCGCTGAGCTAAATTCCCAGCCCCTTTACTGCTAATTATTTCCCAGAGTACGCTTTTGCTCTCTGATCATTAACTCTCATTGCATATGAACAACACATAGTAAATATAGTGAAGAATATTTATTCTCTATCTTATAGGAGGTGAGATGTATTCTATGCAACCTCTGCATTTAATGGTACATACGTTATGCACTACAAGAAAATGTACACATACCTGGAGATAATTATCCAGAGCATAAACATGTACAAATGCTCACAATTTACCCCTTTGCTTATAAAGTAATTTATATGCAAAATGTAATTTTATTTTCTTTTTAGTCATTTGTTTGTACGAATTTTAAAACAATATGGAAAATGACACACCTGATTATTTCACTTCTGGAGTTTATATTTAAAACTACAGTTACTCTCCAAAAACAATTTAGAAGACAGAATACAGGATTTGCTTTTTAGATTTTTGCCCTTTTCCCGTGTCTTAGATTTAGTGGTTGAAGGACTGAGATGTGTGGTTTTACCGAGAGATCTCTGCCACAAATTCCTGCTGCTGGCCGAATCCAATACAGTAAGAGGAATCGAAACCTGTGGGATCCTCTGTGGAAAGCTGGTACGGCCTTTCTCCTGTCTCTCTGCACAGGGTGTTTCCAGGAGTATTAATTTTCTTGTGATTAGCACAGCAGAAGAAAAGCCTGCTAGGAGCTGTAAATATTATGAAATTCACTTTATATAGATTAATTTCATAAATCTACTGTCATTATTCATGAACTGTGTCTCTAGTAAGTGCGCTGTTAAATTCCAGAGGTATGAGCAAAGCCCGTTTTAAGGAATCAAACCATCAATTAAATCTTCACTTTAAAAAATGGTACATTACAAGTCTTCAGATTTACAAATTTACCTTATTTGCTAAATCAAATTTCATGGCCATTGCTGGTTTCACACACTTTCATATAATTGTCTTTCTATCTATCCTTACCTCTGGCAAATATCTTCCCATCCTTTTTCAAATACTTGTGGAATGAAATTAGAGTTCCATTGTTTTCTTTAGTTTAAAGGAATAGTTTTAACAAACTAAAATCTATAATGACTGGTCATATTTATGAAAGATATTGCTAGAAGTATGACAGACGACAATGTCAAAATAGAAGGAGATAAATGAGATTTAATTTCCTCTTGCAGTGAAGATGAAAAATGTCTTCTCAAGTGTCCTTTCTTAGGCTCTTACGGTATCAGTTTATATTTCTGGGTCCAGGCATTTGACATGAATGATATGATTTATTTGACATGTATTTTCTGACTAGATTCCAGTGTTTCATCATTAGTTTTACTCCAAGAGAGGAAAACTGCATCATCACCTCAGGACCCTCTTCTTTTTTTTTTTTTTTTTTT